AAAAAAAAAAAAAAAAAAAAGAGGGTGGGTAGGGCCTGCAGCAGCAGAGGGATGGCTTCCACATGGCCAGCACCTCCAGGCATCTGACAGCTTTCAATCAGCGTTTCCTGAGAATGGACAGTGCAGGATCCTCCTGGCCAAAGACCACCCCACAGTGGTTCCAAAGGTAAACTGAATTTCCCCTTTCAAAAAAGCCATATGTTTGGAAGGGGTCACACTAAGAGGAGTTTTACACCTTTCAGGCAGGGCCTTGTCCCTGCACTCGAGGGAATCAGGCCGAGTCCCTTCCCCAAACACAAACTGCTCTCTGTTGCACCCCAGCCTCCTGTGGGGAAGAGGCCAGTGCCGCCATCACCTCCTATTCGCCTACTCGTCACGCGTCACGGGACACTGACTGCTACTGTCACCCCTCCATCCTCTCTTCTCTGGACTTGGCAACTTGGTTTCCCCCTTTCTTTCTGATTTATGCTTCACTGGTTTGTTCAATCACAAAAGTGTCAAAGTAGAAATCACTGCAGAGTGATGAAACTCAACTAAAAAAGAAAATACATGAGAATGCCTCTGACTGGAGGGGAGAATGAGGGGATGAACGCAGAGGAAATCTCTGAGGCTGGGATGGTACATCTAGACATCGCTGCACATATTCTAGCTTTTTGTTATAAATGAATCCAGTACTTGTTCACTCTTCCTTCCGTTGTGGACATTTTAGGAGGTGATTTCCCCGGCCTTTCCAGTGTCTCAGCCCCAGGTCAAACACGGCAGTGATCTTGTGAACGGCCAGAGCTGCTTGCCAGGCAGAGCAGGTGTGGGCGGGCCACAGGGTGGCCAGGGCCCTGCAGCAGCGGGCTGACCAGTTGCCTTGGCCAGTCTGATGACCGACACACTGGTGGGCCCTCAGCAAAATGCCAGGGGCTTCCAGCGGGAGGCTTAGTGTTTTAAGAAACATGGTACGTTTTTTGGCTTGATTTAATGCTAATGACTTGTGCCTTTTCTAATCCCATCTAAAGTTCTGTTGTGTTTTCTCCTTTTCTCTCTGGGTAACTACAAGGTATAATACAAATGAAATTGATTTAATAAATTCCTGTGCAATTCAAGTCATTATGACTCATCTCCAATGTCAAAAATCAGAGAAAAGGCATTCTCAAAGATGCCATGACTCTGCACTATTAGAAGTGTTTTCTGTTCCAAATAATCTAGGGACACACCATAAGTACAGGCACTTCAGTGACGAGTGACTCTTCCACGGGTGTGTGACACACATGGGAATTACTATCACAAAAGGACACGAGTGACTGTGCAGACGGCATCTAAAACAATAATCTATTAACAAGTGCCCCACAGACAGCTGTGATGACTGAAGACAGAAGGAGCAACGCTTCATCAGTCCCAGGTATATAATCGCCTCTATTCAGGGCGGCAAGGGGTCACTGGTTTGTTCTTCAGCAGGTGTGTGTGGATTTCCGCGGTGAAACCCACCAGGGTGAGTGCGTGTCACTGGAGAGCTCACAGCAGGATGGCAGGGCTGCACAGCGCCTCACTGCAGGAAGTGAGACTGCACACAGCAACTACTCATGGACAGTAGGAAATCTTAAATAATAATAAAAACAGCTCATTTTAAAAACACGGGCTTTACGTCTTACTTCTCCAACAGTAGACCAAAGGCATGGAAGGGGATGGAGGCTTGCTCTCCAGAGAAAAGGCAGTGAGAAAACACCTACCTGCAGCTTCCCAGGCCGGGCCCGTGCTAGTCCCACTGCCTTTTTCAAGCCTTCACTGAGGCCAGGGAAATCAGCTGGCTTTCTGCTCGCAAAGGTCAAGGACTCAGCTCAAGCAGTTCCCTGAGAAAGCCCTAATGGGGAACAAAGGCAAGCTCCTCTACCCTTTGATCCGGCCAAAGTCCTAAGATTCTTACCTGTAAATGAAGGATTTTGGATTCATTATTTCGAAGCATTTCCTTTTGTCTCTCAATTTCAATTTCAAAGCTACATATCTGATTGTGCAAACTTTGTATGCTCTTGTTTTTTTCTACACTTTCATTCTGCAGCAAGGAAACCTAAAAAAGAAATTCTTTAATTAATGTAACCAAAAGTGGTTTTCATATAAATTAACAACCATGATAATAACACCAATTAAATTTTCACAATATAGGCCTTCCGTTAGCTTTATTGACAGAGTTTCAGAAGGAAAAAAATCCCTTCACACAGAAAATGGTAGTCCTGGTACTTTTCTTTCTTTTTTCCCCCCCTCTAGAGACAGGGTCTTGCTCTGTCCCCAGGCTGGAGTACAGTGGTGCAATCATAGCTGACTGCAGCCTTGACCTCCTGGGCTCGAGTGATCCTCCTACTTCAGCCTCTTGAGTAGCTGGGCCCCAGGTACATGCCACCATGTCTGGTTAGGTTTTTAAAAAAATTTTTTTTGTACAGATGGGGTCTTCCTATGTTGCCCAAGCTGGTCTCAAACTCCTGGCCAAAAGTGATCCTCCTACCTCAGCCTCTCAAAGGGTTGGGATTAGAGGTGTAAGCCACCACACCCAGCCAGTCCTAATTTAATAAAGAAACCTATAAAGTGTTTCTCAGAATCTCTTCCAGTAATTAGGGTGAGGCAAAGTGCAGCAGCTGATTGAATATCAGAATAAATGAGGTGCTTTTCAAGTTTTTGCTAAAAACTAAATGAATATTTTACCAGAGTATTTTTTCAATTGTAGACCAGGAAACACAGTAAGAAAGAGACACTTATCTATCACCCACTGATACCACCGTGCGTGCGTGCGTCCCTGAAAACAGGTGTCACAAAGCAGTACTTGCCCTAATTACTTATGATGCACACTGATATTTGTTCTTTTATTCTGTTTCATTTAAGAAAATACTCGTCCCTGGAGGACGTTACGCTGAGCAAAATACGCCAAGCACAGAAAGGCAAACACTATGCGCTCTCCTTTAGACACAGGATCTAAAAAAGTCAAGCTCACAGGAGGAGGGAACGGTGGTTACAGAGGCTGGCGGAGGTGGGGGATGGGGGTGGGCTTGTGGAGCTGCTGGGCAAAGGGCACAGAGCCTCAGTTAGACAGAAGGAAGGACGTGTTCAGGCCCACTGGACAGCATGGTGACTGTGATTGGTATTAACATGTGTTTCAAGACTGCTTGGGGAGCAGATTTTAAACCAATGAGGTGATGGATATGTTAATTAGCTCTATTTAATTATTCTGCAGTGTGTATGTGTGTGTGAGTGTGTATTTGTGTGTGTGTATACATGCATAAAAAATCAAAACATTACACTGTACCCCGTAAATATATGCAATTATTCTTTGTCAATTAAAAAAAATGCTGGTCACAACTTACTATTTCACATCTACCCAGGGACCACACCCTGCAGCTTGAACAGCTCTGCCACATAATGAGAGAGCACAAGGCGAATACAAAAAATTAGATGGGTGCTGCATCCTTGGGACCAGCCCTGTTCTCCCTCAACACAGAGAGGCAGAGCTGACACCTGAGGATATCCTTCCATGGGAGCACAGAGGAGCCCTTGCAATCCATGCTACCCAAAGGGAGGGCCTGCTGGGTGAGCAATTCCAACCCCACCTTTGACCTTTCTGAAATCTCTTTCTGAAAAATAATTCGCTCCCAAAGAAAAATTAACACCTGGTCTCAAAGATGAAAAGTTCAAGGGTAACACCTACAAGGCCTTCTTCCTCACAAAACTTTTACAAAAGGCATCTTGACCTCCCACCTACTCTGTTTACCTGTCGGGGTGGCAGTCTCCACCCCAGAAGACCCTAAGCTCTGTGCCAGATCCAACGTGTGCCCCTCCAACGATATGCACGCTAAAACCACCAACGCCTGGGGACCAATGGTCACAGAGGTGAGGGCCCGAGGGCATCTTGGCACAAAACCAGGTGTGATCAAGAGCTGACTCCTGATGCTGTCCATCTAAAGGATAACCACCTTTAGGCTGGTTATCCTTTTCATATTTGGCACAGTTGGCCAAGTCAAGAGACACTTTTTGAAGCAATCACTATCGTATTTTTTTTTTTTTTAAGACAGGATTTCACCATGTTGGTCAGGCTGGTCTTGAACTCCCGACCTCAGTTGATTCGCCCACCTTGGCCTCCAAAGTGCTTGGATTAGAGGCGTGAGCCACCACGCCCGGCCCACTATCGTATTTTAAAACAAATATGTATTTACTAAGGGATATAAAACTTGCAATGTCTCATGGGCAAAATATAACTTCACTTTCCTAGGATTTTACTCAGCAAAAATCGGCTTTCCTTCCTTCCTTGCCTCATGCGTCCACAAACTCCTATAAGTGATCAACCTGCAGAATGCGAAGCGGGCCACAGGTAGCATTGCATGGTTTATGTGTCCCTCTGAAAGTAGCAATTCATTCATTTCCATCTGTCCAAGACGGGACACAATTCTCAGACTCTTTATTCTCATATCCCTGCAAAAAGATGATATGGATGCCAAGTCTTTTGACAAAAATCTCAGTAATGTCTCCAAAACACTGTCAATAGGCCAGGTGTGGTGGTTCACACCGGTAGTCCCAGCTCTTTGGGAGGCTGAGGCAGGCGGATCACTTGAGCCCAAAGAATTGAAGACCAGCCTGGACAACATGGTGAAACCCCATCTCTACAAAAAAAAAACAAAAATTAGCCAGGCGTGGTGCAAACACCTGCAGTCCCAGCTACTGGGGAGGTTGGGTGGGAGGATCACCTGACCTGGGAGGTCGAGGCTATAGTGAGCCTTGATTGCGCCACTGCCCTCCAACAAATCAAGCAGTTGAGTGTGAGCAGAGGCAACTTACAGCGATGAATACACATCATGTCACACTAAACTCAATTTCTTTCATTTTAGGACTTCCCTTATTTAAGCTATTTATTTATTTTAATCAAAGAACCCAACTTCTGGGTCCTGTAGCTCACTGCTCCCACTCGTCTAGTAGGGAGACGCTGAATGCACAGCAAAGTCTCTGCTCTTTGTCCAGCCTTTCCTTTTGGACCTAGTAAAGGGCACTGTGCACCTTCTTGTGAGCACAATGAGCACGTGCAGAGCACATGCAGAGCTGAGGTTCAGCTGGCCCAACATCAGGGCAGGGGCTCTGCTCTGATGGACAGAGTCTGGGAGAGACCAGTCCTTTGGCAACGTCCAAGAGGGTAGCGCACAGCTGCGCATCCTGCACGCTCGGGACTTCCACTGTGACTTGGCTGGAGATAGCTTAAACACAGGAGGCATTCACAGTGAGAAACCACTGCACTGTGTGTGGGCGGGCTGCTCTGGTTTGTCCTGGAGTTTCCAATGATGCAAACCATTCACTTTCAGTGGGGAAAAAAGCACAGAACGGAAAGGAAGGAGCTGAATCCCACAGGGACTGGGCCCCAGAAGGCTGCCCGGTGACAGCACAGTCCATGACCATCCTGCTGGATAACCATGTGCGGCGGACCTGCTCAACTACTGTGTAACTAACACAGGGATAACAAAGTCCATTTTTAAAATGAAAGGAAGAACCTCCTAAGTGAGAAACACAGCATCTATGAGAGATAAGAGGCCTTGTGATCTATACCTATAATTTTAAAAAGACAGAAATAAAAGTCCAGCTTCAAAAAGAGGGAAAAAAAGATTCTTAGGTAAATCGCCATTGAACTCGGAGCAAATTCTCTATGCTCATGGGAAGATCACCAGGATTCTGCGAATACGAGCTCTGCATCACTGCTGCTCAGCACTGTTCTGCTCCGTGTGTGCATGTGCACGGGACGCCAATCCTTCCACTGCTTCTCAACCTCAGCTCCAGCATTCAAGTGAAAAACTTGCCGCCAGGCACACTGGCTCATGCCTGTAATCCTAGTACTTTGGGAGGCCGAGGCGGGAGGATCATGAGATCAGGCATTCGAGACCAGCCTGGCCAACACCAAGAAACCCCTTCTCTACTAAAAATACAAAAATTAGCCAGGCATGGTGGTGGGCACCTGTAGTCCCAGCTATTTGGGAGGATGAGGCAGGAGAATCACTTGAACCTGGGAGGCGGAGGTTACGGTGAGTCGAGATTGTGCCACTGCACTCCAGCCTGGGCAACAGGAGCAAAACTCTGTCTCAAAAAAAAAAAAAAAGAAAAGAACAGCATGGGAGAGTGAGTCTTTTTGGGACGTGGTCCCATCTATGTGGAGAGCAAACCAAGTTTCACAAAGTGTCAAATGACAAAATCAGTTGTAATCATAGCAAATGTTTGTCTCTTGTAAAAGACACAGACCTGTAACGCATTTAGAGTGGTAGCCACCCAGGTCAGGGCTGGCGAATTTATCCTGTAAAAAGCCCAGTAGTCAGTATCTCGATCCGTACGATCCACACGCTCTTTCCACTCTGCTGCTGTCGAGCAAAGGAAGCCGCAGGCAACACGGAGTGAGCGAGGATGGCTGTGCGCCAATACAACTTTGTTTACAGAAAAACCAGTGGGGTGGGGACTGGGCACCTGATCATCTCTGTGCTGGACTGAAGCTAAAACAACCACAATGTGACTGACATTAAAAAAAGCACTTCACACTTGCTTGGCTATTAAAAAACAAAGAACAGAAATAAAACAGCTTCATTTATAAGCTCAAGATCACACAGGGAATATTATTTTTGACAGTCTCTTGATATGGTTTCTTTTATCCAAAACCCATTACTAACTATAAAGAAGTTTTGTCTTCAAACACAAATCCCACCGCGCAGGAAAGCGTGCGGCCCACCTTCTTCTCCAGCGAGTTGCTCCACTCCTTCAGCAGGTTGACGTGCTGCACGGCAGAGCTGGCCTCGTGGGCCTTGATCTGCTGGTTTGTCCCCTGTGAGAGCAAAGATATGAGGCATTCAGTGAACCTCACTGCATTTCAAAGGGCAGAAAGGCTAACATTGATCCTAAAGGCAGCACTAGACACAGAGGGAAGACCTATTTGCGCCAAGTTAAGAGGGAACCTCTGCGCCTAAGGAGGGCTGTGCTGAGGGCCACCTGGCCACTGCATGCAGGTAAGGAGGCCACCAGGAGTGGCAGAGCCAGCGCCCTGCAATGCCACAGTGACCATCTCAGGGTTATCTCCCCATCCCTCCAGCTCATCTCAAGTGGCTTTTCATCAAGGGTTGACACTTGTAATACCAAGAAATTAAATTTTAAACTCATTCTTGATCTATTACAAACTACTTTTCTCATTAAAATATAGTATAGATACCCGTAGTTGTAGCTAGATACTGCCACAACAGTCTGGTAAACATGTAAGCAAAGAAAGATTCGAAGTAATTTACTAAAGCATCAATTTACTGGCTCAAATACACTGTATCCAAAGATGTATTGCTCCTCACCATTCTAGAATACTTAGAAAAGTTACATACAAAACAAATACAATCTACAGAGTACATAAGATGTAGACCATTTTGGAGTCAGGAATAAACACATGAAATTGTACTTCATATATTTAAGGAAATAGTTTGCATGAAAATATAATTTGTTTTGCTATTAGAAAATTAAGAAGCCACAGAAAGCATTTTAATGATCTCCAAAACATATACTCTGTACATAGAATATTTATATATATATGTTGATATAAGTGTTGCAATATATAAACATATATATACACATACACAGAGAGAATGAATGATACTACGTACGACAGAACAGGGGAGGCTCAGTCTTGCTAGAGACTCAAGCAAAGGAAGGCACAGTCATTCTTACTCTTTGGCTGTTCTCTTCCTCAGAAAATACTAAGATGCCAATCTCTCTGTACTGACTTCATAATAATGTATTGGTGCTACATGAAATATAAAATACTTAGTTTTAAGATTAAGATACATATATTTAAATGAAAACTCGGTTCCAATTCACTAGCAATCTCAGCTGTGTTAAAAAATAAACAACAACAAAACACCAGATGCAGATTTCTCACACTACACGTGTGGCAGCAACAGAGGCGCTCTCCCCGCACTGTTCTCTGGGAGGTGTGCTCTCTAGGAGCTGTGCTCCATTTTGCGTCTGTCCCCAGCTGGGGGTGAGAGTCAGCACAGACATGTACATCAAATGCATTTATGGATACACACGTGTGTGATCCTTACGGCTGTGTACTGACACACACGCTGTTGAAACTATGCTCAGTTTCGTAATTGCTTCTCTTCAGATAACAGCTAAAATTTCTATAACCATCTATCTGAAAACCCCACCGAATGTCAGGCCTATCTGTCACATGACTAGCTGGTTTTGGATGCAGTACTTCTCTTCATGTATTAGCTTCCACTTCAGCACAACGTCCACCTCAAGTCTCAAAGCACCACCAACTGGAAAGCGAGCATCCCGCCTGCTGCACGTGGCTCTTGCCACCCATGCAACAGGGTGTTTCAGTTTCATGACAAGGAATAAGGAGTCAGCTTGCATGTTAAAAATGTTAATATAATAACTTTCTCTCATGGCAGAATGTCAGTGACTGGGAAGGACAAATGTCGGATACTGACCTGAAAAACGCAGCCATAGCGCTTAAAACTACAGGTGCTGGGGGCATTGACACACTCTGACAAGTGTGCACTCAACTGCAACGGGAAAGAGACGTGAGTTGTGGCACAAACGTTTGCATGAAAATGTTCAAACATATTAGGGCACAGATAGCATCTGAGCTGTACTATTAAGAATGGTGTTTACTGCTACAGGTGTGTATATATCATCTGCTGCCTAGACTTCTATGCAGTAAATATACGGTCTAGTCACGTGTATACACATATACGCCAATATACAAGAATACATTTACTATAACATTTCTTAAACTTGCAGTTTCTTTAGAACAAATTGTTCAAAATGTGATATGCCATCTGTAGTGCCAGAATTTAAAAAAGAAAGAAAAAACATAAACTGAAATGCACATTTAAGGACCATAAACAAAAATTGCATGAAACACAAAAAAATAGAAAGCATTCAGAATGCAACTGGGTCACACACCTAATATATGGTACACAAAAATAAAAATATTTTCGAAGCGAGCTTACACAATATCCCATTACTCAAAATACTTGAGATAAGTGCAAAGAGTTTTTCCTTCATCTGAAAAGACTTCTTCCCTCTGTAAAGGCCAGAAACTCAGGTACTTTTTCAAAGACCTCTAAGATCAATCTAACAACGTGGTCTTAATACTGTCACCTCTGATTGATGTCAGGAAAATTAGGTGGGGCTGAGAGCAGATAACTCATCTTGCAAGAAAAAAGTCTCTTACTCAGCTCAAATGCTGCCGAGTTATCAAACAAAAATTACTTACGATGCCCTAACAAGAGAAAAGGGAATGGAAAAGACTGCATTTCAAAGACTTAGAGGCATGTGTTAGGCTAAGCCAAGTCAGGTATAGTTTTGTCTTTTGCACGCTTTATCATGCCCCAAGACTGAGCAGAAGTTCTGGCTTTTATTGAAGAAATTCCCATCAGGAAACTCTAGGGACAGATCTTCTTCACAGGAAACAATCGGCCTCTCCTTAGGAGGACGGGTGTGTGGGTGCAGCAGCCGGGAACATGTCTGTCTGTGTGCCAGCACGCATGCGTTGCCAGGGCTCACAGAGCGCCTCCTCCTGGAGGGTGCAGCTAAGTTCTATACTTCTCAGTCCGCCAGGACAAAGGCGGGCCTTTCCTCTAGGTTGACATTTAGAACAGAGGGGAAAATGGATCCCTGCTGTGAAAGCTAAGGAGGAGGGGCAATGCAGGAAGGGCCTGAGGGGCCCACGTGGCCACTGCTAGGGCCAACCTTCGAGGACGGTCTCAGAGCCAGGGCAGAGTCATGGTGGTAGGAACCTGGCAGCCTGATGCCTTTACTGCTCCTTGGAACCTACACTGGCTGCTCCTGCAAGAAGCGCCCACAAGGCGCATGGCAGGTGACTGGCAGGGAAACTGTGCAGAACGTTAATTAAAAAATTTGGAATCTATTCTTCCACTGTCACTGCTGCAATAACAAAGCTGAGTGGCAACCCTATTACATGTTAAGCCAGGGACACGCTGGGTGTGATGCATCTTGTTTTTAGTGTACTACAGTAAATTCAGGGTTGGGCCTTTTCCTAAATTGGTTTTACTTTCAGTATTCTGAGTCTTAGGGAATCTGCAGGAGCTCTGGAAGACAGGCAGGAATAATCTATAGCCCAACAGCACCTTTCACTAGAAACCCAACAGAAATGCAGGTTTAACAATGTTTTCAAGAAAAGAAATTATTCCAACAGCATGGACTCTTTATATATTAACAGAGGATTGTCCAGCCGTGGTGGTAATTGACAGGTATTTTTCCCTAGCTCCTCCCAGGGGCACGTTCAGGGCCCAGAGATCACTGTCATCAGGCAAGACTTTGCCCTCACCCATCGGCTTCAAGGTCCTGGGAGGACACGCCTCGGGGGAGAGTGGATTCTGGGCCCTGGGTCCCTGGCCCTAGCCCCACATGGGCCCTCTTACCCAGTCAGGGACAGGCAAGGCTGGTTTTCCCTGCTAACCAATATCTAGGGGTAAAATTTCAGGCTGTTGAAAAATGCTGAGGTGAGCAACCTCCTTAGATCAGGGAACCACACATCCAGGGAGCCCAAGGTGGCCCCAGATGACTCCCAGAACATGCTCCAGGTCGGGACAGATGCAGAAATGTCAAGAATCCTTGAAATTTTCCCAGCTGGACGTATCCTGATCAAGTGAAGTCAATGCAAAATCTACCTATCTCAAAAAAAGAGTGCCAAGTGCCAGGTGAGGCAGGTGGCCTCTGGGGGGCCACAAGGGCCCGCCTGGCAGCCCTAAAACGTGGGCGCGTCCTCCGCCCGGCATGTGTGAGCTTTGCTTCTGAAGTGTCTCTCAGTTCATTCATGTTCTTGAGATCATCTCACAGCAATTACTATTCTATAAAATTAAAACTGCTTTTAAAAAACCCTTAAGTCACCTTTGCTTGTATTGTATATAAAATATTTCCATTTTCTTAATGTTTCACCAATCTTTCCTCTGAATTTACCACACTGTAGTGTTTTTTGTTTGTTTGTTTGTGATGGAGTTTCGCTCTTGTTGCCCAGGCTGCAGTACAATGGTGCAATCCTGGCTCACTGTAACCTCCGCCTCCAGGGTTCAAGTGATTCTCCTGCCTCAGCCTCCCAAGTAGCTGGGATTACAGGTGCGCGCCACCACACTGGCTAATTTTTGAATTTTTAGTAAAGACGGGGTTTCACCATGTTGGCCAGGCTGCTCTAGAACTCCTGACCTCAGGTGATCCACCTGCCTCGGACTCCCAAAGTGCTGGGATTACAGGTGTGAGCCACCACGCCCGGTCACATACTGTAGCTTTTAACTGCTTGCTTCTGACTTCTAAAAAATGGCATAAGGCTTTTTGCTGTGGTTTTCATTTTTCTGCCATACACCTGACTCTCATGAACTGGGAAAATGTGAGGCTTTGGCTATGCAGGGAGTGGAGACCCAGGCACACAGCCCTGAGGACTCCGCAGACTCCCGGCTGGGCCAAGCCATCCCTACCTCGCTCCTCAGGAGAGTCTGGACGCTGCACTTGTGAGGGCAGGACACCACCACACAGGGACAGTCCGTGTCTTCATGTTTCTGCAGAGAGAGAAGGTACTGTCAGCTTTACACACACAACCTGTCTTCCTTAACCCCGCTGAGGTCCCCACAGGGCCCCCAGGAATGGCTCTGCTCACTGTCTTGGCCCCTCAGTTATGGCACTCACATTACGTATGGGTGAGTCATTACTGTCACAGAGTATGAGTGTCTCAGGACACCACAAGTATCTCCACAGATCTAGTGCTATCTGACCAGTGAGGGCGACGAGCCTGAGAACAGTCACAAGGGCTTCCCCTGAGCACTGTCTCCTCTGTCCAGAGCTGCTCCTGGTCCACACGGCACCTAACGTGCAGCGCTCAGGCAGGTATGGCCACTCACACACGCTCACAGCACAGGTGGACCTCGGAGCTGCGGACCCAGCTGGTGTCTGCCTCTGCTGGTTCAGAGAAGGATGGTCTCCCTTGGCCTCTCAGTCTGGAGTCTGGAAATGATGTTTCTCAAGTGTGTGAGAGAGGTGTGACCAACTAAGTATTTACATTACTAACCTAGAACGTTAATCTAGATGATCTTTAGTCCATGGAAAATTGGGTAAGTTTTGGGTTAGACCTTCTCTGATGGCACAGACTTCACCTTTGCTGAGGCTGCGTGATGGCGACTCTCAAGCCCAGTGCCATGGGCGCCTGCTGGGCACCTGACCACGAGCACAGCAAAGGCAAGGACTCCCCACAAGGACATCAACTGCAGGGACCCTGGGGAGAGACTGATGAGGCAGAGCTGGAGACGGTGCTGCGCTGAACAGTCCCTGCTGAGAGGAAGACTGTCGCAGTGGTTTCCCCGCGGCACAGACGCCTCAACCCTCCCCATCCATCTTTCCAGGTCCTCTTTTGGCCTCCAGTTATGCAGCTGTTCCGCTGAACAAACTGGGGAGGCCTCGCTGAGAGCCGCTGTCTGACTGGTGGGTCTGAGGGTGAGGAGGGCAGCGGCCCACCTGACGGAAGCTCGTCCTCGGAATGTGGGCACTCCTCTCCCCCAGGAGCTCGCTCTCCTTGGCATGTTTCCAAGGCCCAACTCTGCAGGCACCCACGGTGGGTCTGCGGCACAGGAGGGACACCTACAAGGTCAGAGCTGTCCTGCTCCTGGGCCTGGTGCCGAGGCCCACAGTGCTCACCGAGGGCCAGTCCATCACCATCCCAAGCTGAATAGCAGGCACTGGACGGGCCCAGCCTGACCACAGGCCTCACTCAGGGGAGATGCCACATGGGGACAGCAGGGCACTGGACGCAGACTCCCACCCAGCCTAGCTGCGCTCAGAGCCACAGTCCCCAGTACCACTGTCGAGGCTTCCTTTGTCTTTCAGTGGGAAACCCTGGCACAGGTGGCTTCACCTTCCTGGCCTCACACCTCATCTGTAAATGAGGTGGCTGGAGCTCACTCCCAGGGTGCTGAGGACTGACTGAGGTCAGGGGCCTAGGGAGCCCAGCAGAGGTCTGGAAACGTGGTAAGTGCTCTGTGGATGCTGAGTCTCCTCCGAACCCGCCCTCACTCCACCTCCATTCACCCGGCAGGATGCTGGCCAGTGTGGGCATCAGCACAGAGACAGCTGGATGAAGACTGACAATCCCTACTGCAGCCAGGCAGAGGGAGACTGGCATGCCTCTGGAGGAGAACAGGGATGGGCCTCGGGGCAGGGAGGCTGAGGAAGAAGGGCATGAAGGGAAGCAGTGTGGCCAGGGAAGAGGAGAGCAATCAGTATCTTTCTGTGTTTAACTTACAACAACCCCACACCAAACTACACTCCCAGTAGCATGGGGATGCATGTTTCCACACCGTTGCCAATTCTATCGCAAAATCTTTGGCAATCTGATAGGTAAAAAAATGGGGTGAGTGGGACCTGCAATTCTTTAGTAATGTGTGGTTAAGCACACACACACACACACACATATATATATATATATATTTGAGACAGTCTGTCGCCCAGGTTGCAGTGCAGTGGTGTGATCTCAGCTTGCTGCAACCTCCACCTCCTTCAAGTGATTCTCCTGCCCCAGCTTCTGCGCGTCACCATGCCCAGCTAATTTTTGCATTTTTAGTAGAGGCAGGGTTTACCATGTTGGCCAGGCTGGTCTCAAACTCCTGATTTCAAATGGTCCATCCACCTCGGCCTCCCAAAGTGCTGGGATTACATGTGTGAGCCACCGCACCCAGCCTTAAGCAGATTTTTGATATTAATCGTTTCTATTTCTTTTCCTGTGAACTGCCTTTTCACAGCTTTTGGCTACTACGGTAAGTTGAATAATGTCCCCCAAAATTCTTGTCTATCTAGAAACTCAGAATGTGACCTTATTTGGAAACAAGATTTCTGGCGATGTAATCAGTTAAGATGAAGACAGCCTGGCATCGGGCAGGCCCTAAATCTAAACACTGCTGTCCTTAGAAGACACGAGGACATGCACTAGAAGACGGCCATGTGAACATGGGGGCAGAGGTTGGAGCGACACAGCCATGAGCCACGGAAGGCCAAGCCCTGCTGGTGGCTCCGGAAACTGGGAGGGGCAGGGAAGCCTTCTTCCCAACAGATGTCAGAGACAGTGGAGCCTTGGTTTTGCATTTCTAGACCCAGAACTTAACAGGATAAATTTCTGTTTTTGCAAGCCAGCAACTTTGTGTTACTTTGTTACAATAGCCAAAGGGAAACAACACATTCATTAAAATAAAAAAACCCTGACTCTTCTGATTTTTAATTTGCCTATTAATGAAATCAGTCCTATCTATGAAATTAAATGTAATTCTGATACACACAAGCATGTATGTGCACACATGTGTGAGATGAAAAGCACAGCTCAGGAGCGGTGGCTCACACTTACAATCCCCGCACTCTGGGAGGCCGAGGCTGGTGCATCACCTGAGGTCAGGAGTTCTAAATGAGCCTGGCCGATATGGTGAAATCTCTACTAAAAAATACAAAAAAATTAGCTGGGAGTGGTGGCACGTGCCTGTAATCCCAGCTACTCGTGAAGCTGAGCCATGATAATTGCTTGAATCCAGCAGACGGAGGTTGCAGTGAGCCGAGGTCATGCCACTGCACTCTAGCCTGAGTGACAGAGTGAGATTCTGTCTTTAAAAAAAAAAAAAAGAAAGAAAGAAAAAGAAAAGAAAAAAGAAAAGCATAACTACATAGTGAACACCCATGAAACCAACACCCAGGTCCAGGAGCATGACGGATAATGTCCATCTATGTACCCGTGTCAACCTCTCCCACCTTACCCTCATTCTCCCCTAGGGAGTTCCCATTAAAACCACAACCCTGAATTTTGTATTTCTGTTTCTAAAAAGGTTTCACCACATTTATGTGTGACAAATGAAACACTGTTTCTTTTTTTTGTTTGTTTTTTGTTTTTTTTGAGGCGGAGTTTCACTCTTGTTACCCAGGCTGGAGTGCAATGGCGCGATCTCGGCTCACCGCAACCTCCGCCTCCCGGGTTCAGGCAATTCTCCTGCCTCAGCCTCCTGAGTAGCTGGGCTAACAGGCACGCGCCACCATGCCCAGCTAATTTTTTGTATTTTTAGTAGAGACGGGGTTTCACCATGTTGACCAGGATGGTCTCGATCTCTTGACCTCGTGATCCACCCGCCTCGGCCTCCCAAAGTGCTGGGATTACAGGCTTGAGCCACCGCGCCCGGCTCATTTTTTTTTAAATTTTGTTAACATAGACTTCTACCATGGGAGTCTTCTGGACTTGGCTCACTATTACGCTTTAGACTAATCTGCCTATTGCAAATAACTGCAGGCCCCTAACTTTCACTGCTGCATGACACACCTCCCTGTCGTGTAACACTGTGACACCATTTCCACCTGCTGACGGGTGCTCCGGCTGTTTCCAGATTTCCGCTGCTCTGGTCACACCTGGCCACATTTCTTGGGGGGGGGGGTGTGTGTGGGGGTGTGTGTGTGTGTGTGTGTGTGTGTGTGTGTAAGTTTCTCCTATACATCCAGGGGAAGAACCGCTGGTTAACTGAATGCCTGAATGTCCAACCTAATAGGACACTGACAGTTGATTTCCAAATTGGCCAAACCTACGTAGACTTCCACAACGTATGCTCTCCCATAGGGTGAGATCTCTATCATCCTGATCTTCACTAGTAACAGAATTGTTTAAAGAATGATAGTCCAGGATTTCTGGGCTAAATCTAAAAGGTTTCCTGACACTTTAAATTATGCTGACCTATAAATTTAAAAAATGATAAAACTTGAAAATAGCTGGCATACTGTATATACCATAGTTTAAATGTAGAAAAGAGATTCTCATGTGAACTGCAACGGTCCAGAGTTTCAATGCATTCTCAGCACATTTTGTCAACATTTGATGTTGTGACCCACCACAAGCAGGGAATGCAGGAGAATCAGAATGACCTGGGCTCTCGGCCTCCCTGTATCAGAACTGTTCTGAGAAATAAACTCAATGAAGGCCTGAGGGGATGAAACTAAGGGTGTCAGAGAGTTGAAAAAATCAAAATATGTGGGAACCAAATCACACCACTGAAAAGAGAGGTGAGCGAGGGCAAGTCACAGAACCAGGCCTGGGGTGAAGGAAGCCAACCAGCAACGGCCCTCCCCTCATCAGGCCGAGAGGCAGGGCAGCTGCACTAGCAGGACCCCAAACACCCGTGCTTGCTGAGATGCCTGCCCGCCCCGAGAGAAGTCGACACACACCTTAAGATGCCCTCTACTACCCACACTGCTCTAGCGGGTTTAAACTAGTTTCACCTTAAGTGTGTAGTGTGATTTATGAGGAATATTTCCACAACTCAGCCCCCAAACTTGCTCATTATCATTCTGTGCTTTCCATCTACTCTCTTTCTCTTGTGTCTTTTAGTTGACTAATTCAAGACCCAGATCAAATGAAAGGCAACCTCCTCACTAAAACCTTCCTTGCCACTCAGGCTACGCTATTAAAACTGGTCCTTCCTTGTTGGCATGTTATTAATGTTACAATCACAGTACTTCCCATACCAACAGGAATTAAACTGTGCATCTGGCTGTCTCTCTCATCAGACTGTAAACTGAAGTAGAGAGTGCGACTTATTCTCGTGTATATCCTGAGCAACGAGGGCAGGGTCTGGCGCCGTTTTGTGAATCCATACGCTATACTGATGCTTAAAACCTGACCTGTTACAGCCTCATCTGGTGTTCAGAGTCAGTTTAACAGACATGCTCTACAATTCCTGCTCAAACAAAAATCAGTTGTTGGATTCTATTCTGCAATAAAGGTAACTGATTTTGGCAAGAAGCAAAGTATAACTTTGATAGCTATGTATTTATTTATTTTAAGTTCCAGGGTACATGTGCAGGATGTGCAGGTTTGTTACACAGGTAAATGTGTGCCACAGTGGTGTGCCGCACAGATCAACCCATCAACTAGGTATTAATCCAGCATCCATTAGCTATTCTTCCTGGTGCTCTTCCTCTCCTAAACCCACAGCCCCAGTGTGTGTTCATCCCCACAGTGTGTCTATGTGTTTTCATGATTCAGCTGCCACTTACAAGTGAGAGCATGTGATGTTTTTCTGTCCCTGCATTAGTTTGCTAAGGATAACGTCTTCCAGCTCCATCCATGTCCCTGCAAAGGACATGATCTCCCTCTTTTTTTTTTTTTTTTTTTTTTTTTTGAGACGGAGTCTTGATCTGTCACCCAGGCTGAAGTGCAGTGGCGTGATCTCGGCTCATGGCAACCTCCACCTCCCACGTTCAAGCGATTCTGGTGCCTCGGTCTCTGGAGTAGCTGGGATTACAGATGTGCTATCACCCCTAGCTAATTTTTATGCTTTTAGCAGAGATGGGGTTTTACCATGTTGGCCAGGCTGGTCTTGAACTCCTGACCTCAGGTGATGAACCTGCCTTGGCCTCCCAAAGTGCTGGGATTACAGGTGTCAGCCACCGTGCCTGGCAGATCTTTCTTTTCTTGGAGTTTTGCTCTTGTTGCCCAGGCTGGAGTGCAATGACACAATCTCAGCTCACTGCAACCTCTACCTCCCGGGTCCATCGATTCTCACGCACAGCCTCCCAAGTAGCTGGGATTACAGGCATGTGCCACCACGCCTGGCTCATTTTGGTTTTTTAGTAGAGATGGGGTTTCTCCATGTTGGTCAGGCTAGTATCGAACTCCTGACCTCAGGTGATCTGTCTGCCTTGGCCTCCCAAAATGCTGGGATTACAGGCACAAACCACCACATCCGGCTGATCTCCTTCTTTTTCACAGATACATCATATTCCATGGTATATATGTATCACATTTTCTTTATCCAGTCTATCACTGATGGGCATTTAGGTTGATTCCATGTCTTTGCTATTGTGAATACTGCTTCAATGAACATACGTGTGCATGTGTCCTTATAATAGAATGATTTATATTCCTTTGGGTATATAGCCAGTAATAGGATTGCTGGGTCAAATGGTATTTCTGCCTCTAGATCTTTGAGGAATCGCCACACTGTCTTCCACAATGGTTGAACTAATTTACACTCCCACCAATAGCATAAAAGCATTCCTTTTTCTCTGTAACCTCGCCAGCACCTGTTGTTTTTTGACTTTTTAATAATCACCATTCTGACTGTCATGAGACAACAATATATTAACATATGTCAGGCCTGAAGTCCTGTTCATCAGGCATGTGTCTCATTCACTGGAATTTAACAACTGGGGGAATTATTATTTTTGTTTTAGAGAGGGGGTCTTGCTTTGTTGCCCAGGCTGGTCTTGAACTCCTGGCCTCAAGCAATCCTTCTGCTTTGGTCTTCCAAAGTGCTGGGATTATAGGCACGAGCCATCACACATAGCCTGGAGGAATTATTTTGACTATGACAAAACACTATTGCTATTTTCCAAAGGAAGGGGAAGGCACAGTTCTTAGAAGTCCTTTTTTCTTTGAGACAGGGTCTCACTCTGTCACCTAGGCTGAGTGCAGTGGTGTCATCATGGCTCACTACCAGTCTCAACCTCCCTGCCTCAAGTAATCTTCCTGCCTCCACCTCCCGAATAGCTGGAAATATAGGTATGCTCTACCACACCTGGCTAAATTTTTATTGTTTATAGAGGCAGAGTCTTGCTGTGTTGCCCACACTGGTCTCCAGCTCCAATGCTCAAGCAATCCTCCTGCTTCAGCCTCCCAAAGTGCTGGGCACACAGGTGTGAGCCACCACACCTGGCCTCAAAAGTTCTTAATAACTGGAAACATCTAAAGTATCATACAAGAAAAAGATCATGCGATGTAAGAAAGACATGGGCACAGAAAAATTACAGAAAGCAGGGTAAATACAGAGATTATGAAGTATTTACCATTAAAACCCATGGAGAAAACTGCAATTACTTTTGCACCAACCTAAGAGAATACATCTTATTTCATAGAGAAAAGCAAAGGAAACTCCCTACATTTGGTCATGAGAGCTCCATGCTGGGCGCGATGGCTCTCGCCTCTAAGGCTGAGGTAGGCAGATGGCTTAAGCCTAGGAGCTGGAGACCAGCCTGGGCAACATGGCGAGACTCTGTCTCTACTAAAAAATACAAAAATTAGCCAGGCATGGTAGCATGCGCCTGTAGTTCCTGGGGTGGGAGGACTGCTTGAATCTGGAGGCAGAGACTGCAGGGAGCTGAGACTGTGTCACTGCACTCCAGGACTGGATGACACAGTGAGGCTCTGTCTTAAAAAAACAAACAAACAAACAAAAAACACACTCCACAGTTATCTGGCAGGAACTGGATGGTGGTCACACCCTGGCTGAAGTGCCCTGATGCCTCCCCTCAGTCACTTCATGGCTAAGCCCACAACAGCCTCTCGGCAGCCTTGGAGAGTGTGCCCAGGCCCCCGTGAGTTCTGTCCTCCTCTACACTCGCTCCAGCCCCATGGCCCTGCAAACCACCACAGTCACCCCCACCTGCAGCCTGCGTAGCTCCACTCCCCATTCTCCCCCAAGTCCGTCACCCTCCATTCACTGGGCATCCCCTCGGCAGGACATCCAGGTTCTCCACAAGCACTGGGGGTCACCCTTACCTCATACCCAACCTGCTGGCCAATCCTACCGTCCCACCTTCAGGTGCACCCCAGTACAACTGTCCGCACCCCAGCCACACCAGGCCTTGCCCCGAGGCCCCACTCACCTCCCCAGCTCTGGGCTGTCCAGTGCCTTTCCCTCCCCCTCTGGCTGCCACACCGCCCTCACATCTAGCCTGTGCTCCACACAGCACCTGAACCCCACAGCCCTGCCAGCTCCAGCTCAGGGTCCACATGCTCCCTTGCTGTCCTATGACTGCTTCAGAGAAGCCAGTGCTGATCGTCCCTCTTCCCTGAGTCTGCCTGAGGTTTATTCACAGCACTGATCACCACCTGAAGTTACATATTTGTTAGTATCTTTTCCCGCTTAGAGGAGCTTCACCACTGAGTCCCCAGCTCCTGGAACGCTGCTCCGCGCACAGTAGGTGCCCAAAAGGTGTTTGTTCAACAAATGGATCATTTTAGAAGTGTGTCCTGCACCCCCAACATCTCTGCTTTCCTCTTTAATTCACACACCCAGCCACACACTCACCCCCATTCACACACTCAGCCCCACACTCTCACACACACAGAAACACACAATGCAGAACTGTGCCAATATAACCCAAGTATGAGAAGTTCTCTCTTCAAGATAAACAGCTGCATTTCCATGTTGTAGGATAAATTAGCCTATCGTAAGTGATGGTTATGTCACAGAGCTGTAATAAGATCAGGCAATCTATCAACATTTTGAGGCCCTTCCTTAGGACAAGTTAAAAATTCTACCTTTCTTGAATAACTATTCATTTTCTGACACCCCAAATGACAGTCAATCAAGGCAATGGGAAATGTTAACCAAATAAATCAAAATAGGCAAAACAAATAAAGCTTAACTCTGAAATGAAGTCTGATAAAAACTGCTATTTACTCCTATCTTTTCTCTTTATTCCTGTTAGAATAGTCATTTAAAAAGCTATTCAGCGGGAAACTGATCTATGAATTGGGCACAAGATGTGTGAACAGGAAAAACACCACACCTGCAGCGTGATCATCGGAACCTGACTCTTGCAGTGGCTGCACGTGGCTTCCCGGTATTTACATGCTTTTTCCACGTGGTCTCGAAGGTCTTTCCTCAAGACCTTTTCTTTGCAGTCAGCACGCACACATGGAAGTTCTTCAAACTGGCAATCATTTTTTAAATGCACCTGTAAGACAGACCATTCAAAGTTCTTAACTGGGCAAAAACCCCTCAATCTCAAATGCCAGAAAGGTTTCTCCTCTGCTGTTAGACCAGTCTTTCACAGCAAAGAGTAACAAATACGCCAAGAGACACTGAATTTCATATTCTATCTCGTGATTCCTCAAACTATATTGTTGTTGAAGAATTAAGTCAACTCTGCTTCCTGGATAGATAAATGAGTATCTGCCAAGAACTTTGTTTTATTCCAGTTCAAATAATTTTCTAGGCTAAATATGATACTAATAAAAAAATACAAGAAGTATGTCGAATTTCATGGGCCTTCTAAAATTAAAATCCAACTCAGATTTTCTCTATTGTAAATAGGGTTGGGAGTGCTTAAGAACCAGTTGGCAATTCTATCAATGATGTCATAAAAATAACAACTTAGAGGGTGGTTCTCACTGCTTTCCTATTTGGCTGTGTTTTGAAAAACTAACGTCAACATGGTCTTAAAGTGCCCCATCCTACTGATCACTTCATCCACTAGACGTAAGAAACTCGGATTCCTCCAGTACCAGCCTCTAGTGCCTCTGCGCTACTCACCAACAGATGTCCCAGTGTTAACTGCTCTGCACAACCTCGGCTTTCATTCCGACAGTAGATCTGAAGAGCTAGAATTTCTCTCTTACAGCAATTATCCTTAAACACCTGAAAATGAAAGATCATTATTTTAGAGGATTAATATTTCTAAATCTCCACATGCTGCTACTTTGGACAATGCAAAACCACTTAAAAAAACAAAACACAAGGGAGCAACTCTTAAGTGGACTTCAGAAAGCATTAAGGACCATCTTGATTTCTACAAGTAGAATGAAGACGCTGCCCCTACTAAGAGACACAATTTAAACAACATTAACTGTTACCTTTTATTAGTTAAGCCAAAAGAAAATGAATTAACTTAATAATTAAAGGTCACTCTGGAGCATCTAAACATCTTCTGTTAACTTTGACATAATCTCAGGACGAGGGCAGAGGACTAGGTTCACAGTCAGACTCTGGGGTCTTCCGGGAGCCAGCACTGAGCAGGTGGCCAACGTGGTCCGACTGCCACCAGAGGACAAGAGCAGAATCTGACACAACTAAATACATTTTATAGATTGCTTGCTGGAGACACGGAGAGACCACGTCAGAGATCATATGTGGGGAATGATTTGTAAAACTGTTGATTCCTTCTAAAGGTCACGCTGTTAAAACTCGTTTTTCACCAAAAAAGCAGCATTAGCCATTAGCCTGTGGTTGAAAAAAACTCTCTTAAAACATATATTGCAGTATGAAGTTAGTCTAACAATGAAAACATTTCCCTGTGAAAATGAAAACGAGGCTGGGCATGGTGGCTCAAGCCTGTAATCCCAGCACTTTAGGAGGCCGAGGCAGGAGGACTGCTTGAGCCTGGGAGTTGGAGACCAGCCTGGACAACCCAATGAGACCCTATCTCTACAAAAAAGTTTTTAAAAAATCAGCTGGACAAGGCAGCAAGGACCTGTAGTCTCAGCTTCTCAGGAGGCTGAGGCAGGAGGACTGCTTTAGCCTGGGAGCTCGAGGATGCAATGAGCCGTGATCACACCACTGCACTCCAGCCAGGGCGACAGTGTGAGACCTCCATCTCTTTTTTTTTAAAAAAAAAAAAAGAAGAAAGGCCGGGCGCGGTGGCTCAAGCCTGTAATCCCGGCACTTTGGGAGGCCGAGGCGGGTGGATCACGAGGTCAAGAGATCGAGA